CTATCATGAAAGTTAGGAGAAAGCCATTTGTTTGGACAAAAAYGAACCACTAGTATATCTTCAAGATGTAACTCAATATACTGAAGGGTGAACTATGCATAGATTCCTTCCAATAAAAGTGGCCAACCATGTTACAAGTGTCCAGATTAATAAGTCTAGAAACTCTATCATTATTCAGTAGCTTTAATATTTTAGCCTTGGACAATGCAAAAAATAATTCTAAAGAACTGTTTATATAAAATGTGGGAATGTCAAATTAGACACTATAGATATAAATTTGTTAAAAACTATGAATTGTATTCATACTTTCTGTTGATTTCACTCAAACAGAATYAGAATGTGACTAAAAATTTTAAAAAGTTTGGATAAAATTGAAAACCAGTTGCCCAGGGGATGACTCAATTTCCATAGTTGGAGGATATAATGAATTAGTAACTATTAAGTCTTATGGTCACAATGGTGTCCCCACAGAATCCACATATTGAAGGCTTACCCCAATTACCTCCAAATATGATTATATTTGGYGATAGAGCTTTTAATTGAAGCAGCTAAGCTGAAATGAAACCTTAGGGTAGACCCCAATCCAATCTGGCTGTGGCCTTATTAAAAGAGGAAATTTGAACATACAGAGACCATAGATGAACACACAAAGACCATGGAAAGACCCAGTAAAAAGATAAGTCAAGGAGAGAGGTCTTAGAAGAAACCTAACATATCCATACCTTGACCTTTGACTTCCAGCACCCAGAATTGTGAGAAAGCAAATTTCTGTAGCTTACATTCAGTTTGTATTATTTTGCAGAATAGCAAAATGACATTCTACTACACTTTGGATCTGGAATGTTCCMAAATGGCTCATGTGTTGAAGGCTTGGAGCCAAAATAAGTCAATGTTCAGAAGTGGGGCTCTTRGGAAGTGATTGGATCATAAAATATCTAATTAACAGATTAGTCCAATGAAGGATTCATAATTCGAATGGACTTTTGAGAGGTAGTGGAATATGAAGAGTTAGGGCGTAGTAGGAGAAAGTAGGTCCCTAAAGGCATTCCCAGAAAGGGTACTTCTTAATCTGTGCCTTGTCTCCCCTCCTCTCCCCTCCCTTCTCCTCCCCTCCCCTCTCATCCCCTTCCCTTCCTTTCCCTTCCCTTCCTTTCCCTTCCCTTCCCTCTCACCATCCCCCACTCTGCTTCTTAGCTGCTAGGAGTTCAGCAGATTTGATCCTCCATACCATTCCAACATGATAATCTGAGACTCAAAGCAATAGAGCTAGCCAATCATGGACTGCAACTTCTGGAACCAAGAGTGAAAATAAGTCTTGTCTCCTTTATGTTGTTTTTCTCAGATATTTGTTATATCTGAGAATATAAGATAAGTAGTGAGTAGGTGTGTTAGTCAAMTTATGACAATCATATAACTTTGACATATCAGACACTGGACATGTATTTGTTAAATTTTGCTTTAAGAATAYTACTGTGTCAATGAAGTATGGGTTTAGTGGTGAATATTTAATTGCTAATTCTCAGGGTATTTTTCTTTTCAGTTTAGCATTATCGGATACACATGCAGAAGTTTCTTTCTCATGTGGTCTTGCACTACCTACCCAAAGCTATATTCACTTTTCTAGAATTGACTAGAAGTTGTGTAGTCTATGAGGAAAGGAATGGGAGGTSTATAGGTATTGGAAACTGGAATCCACATCATTATTCCTGGGTCAACCAGGACTTTTCAGGACTTATCCTTCTTTGTTCTTTGCTATCTTCTTAGTGGCACTTTCCATGTTCTCTTTCCAAATTCTCATTTAATGAATTTTCCCCAAAGCCACCYTTTCATTACACATTTTCTGAAACTCTTTACTACTTTTCTTTGGAACGTTCTCATTGGATTTTATGGAATCTACTGAATCCAGAATCTGGATCATCAGCAACCACATGGTTTGAGGACACAAAGGAGTAACCTCTTAACCCCCAAAGGTAATGAAATATATCCTTGGATTCCATTCTTCTAATGCAGCAAAGAGACAGGGCAGAACAATCAAGTTTATTCATAAAAGCAAACTTATCATTGAAATTCAGAGCTAGTTTTTGCTTATGTGGTATAATTACAGGAAGGACAGAACCCCCCCCCCCAAAAAAAAATCTTCTCTCTTTTTTTTCACACTGATATGAAATGATTTCATTTTAAATATTTTCCTTTTCATTGTTGTTTTTTTAAAAATAGGATTTATTGGAGAAGAAAGGAGGAGAAAAAGAAGAGTCAGCCACTGTATTTCTAATGTCACAGTGGTAAGAATTCCTCTGAAGAGGTGCTTATAATGAGGAGTAATCCATCATGAAGCTTGACTTTCCCTCCATGTCTCTCTCTCTCTCTCTCTCTCTCTCTCTCTCTCTCTC